TAGGCGGCTGCTTTTTTTTTTTTTGGTCTTCCTTGGTCTTAGTCCATCCCTGAAATGACATCCCAAAGAGTATCTCCAACCTGACACAGGCCCTTCTTTAGCATCTGTTTCCCACTATCCACAATGTCTCATCTTTCAGGTCTCTGAATGCAGTGAGAACACTCCCAGGGACTCTGCAGGTGCATTTTCTTCATTTTGTTTATGCTTCCTTAATCATTCCTTTGTTGGACACTCAAGACATTCTTTAGGTCCCAACTGAGATACAATGTCCAACACAGTCCTCTTAACCATTCTCATCCTTTCTCTTTTTCTCTCCAGTTTAAAGAATCTACTGGCAGCCACAAAAACTTCTCAACACTCTTTGATTTTAATTTACTCTTGTTGTCTAATCCAATTTGAAACAAGGAAAGAAGGAGGAAAAACAGAAATGAAGAAATTGCACTCACATGATATGAGACAACTTCCTTATTCACGGCTTCATTCTAACAAATGTAAAGGATTTTTGGTTTTCACCAACATTTTGTCTAAGCTTTAGCCCATTCAGTATGGTTTTGCTCTTCGTCAAACTATGCTGACAACTCACAGACTTTTGATATTTCTAGTTATATATTTCTTTGTCCCTCTGTCCTATAAGTCAGTTTAAAAACTGATTTGATCCAGTGGAAGCAAACCTTTGGCACATGGGCACTAGCCAGATGTTTGTTATCATTTAAAGCTGTCAAATGTTCTCCATCACTGGATTAGACCCTGCATGTAGCCTTAAGAGTTTATGTAATGGTCTTTCTCTTTTCTGTTTCTCTTTGGGATTAGGCAAAATGCTACTTATAAAACGTTTAGGTTAGTTTTTCTGAGTAGCTTATTTTGAGCAGACTGTCTCTTACTGGAGTTGTCAATGATTCTCTGTGATCATGTGAAGTTACATCCTTGTCTCCATCTCAATCTCCATCTTAGCAACATCTGACAGTGTTGACCGTTTTTTTTTTTTTAACTTCCTGACTTGAATTTATGATGATACTGTCCCCTAGTAATTTATCTCCCACTTTATTGGCTTTTTACTGACTCTTCCTGAGCACTACAGAAGCATTAGGATAAGCAAGGTCATGGTCCTCAGCCCTCTGTTTCTTCTTCTAATATCTTCCTAGGTGACCCTCTGAAGACCATGGTTTTAAATAGCACCCACAATAACTTGATTCCCAAATTTCAAATTTCAGCTATTACTTCTAAGTGTTACAGACTCATACATGCAAAACCCTAGTTGAACATTTCTGTCAGATACATAAAAGTACCAAAAGTGGCTAGAGATGGATTCTTCATTTCCTTTTAGAAACTTTTTTTTTTTTGTCTTAGCTTTTCCCATCTTACTAAATGGCTTCACCATCTGCCCAGTATCACAGTATGCACCCCGGTGATCATTTTGGCTCCTTCTTTCCATCATTTCCACTTTTATTCAATTTATTAGCAAGTGCCAGCCATCCTGCTCTCACAGATTTTCTCAGTGAACTTACTTCTCCCCATGACCACTGTCCCTACCTTAACTTGTATCACTGTCATCTCTGGTGAACCGGAACGGTCTCCTCTCTGGTCTATCCTGTACTCTATCCTGTACTCCATTATTTTCAAAGAAGCCAAACAGATTTTTTATGACATCACTTTCTTAGATATCAAATGCTTTCACCACAAACAAATAATGACCATTTGAGGTGATAAATATGCTAAATATCATGATTTGGACACTACACAAAGTATAGTTGTCTGTCAGTTTCAGCACAGGATTGATTTCAGGACACAGAAGGATATCAAAGTCTGCAGATGCTCAGGTCCCTTAGATTGGCACATAACCTGCTCATATCCTCCTATATACTATAAATCATCTGTAGGTCACTTACAAATGCCATCTAGGTGGTTGTTACACTGTACTGTTTAGGACATAATGACAAGAAGACACTTTTGTATATTTTCAATACAAATGTAAAGTTTTCAAATCTTTCAATACAGGCTCAAACCCAACAACTCAGAAAGTGGACATCTTATGTGCAGTGAAACATCACATTGTGCTCCATAAATATGTAGAATTATTATGTTTTAGGACAATAATAATACAAACTAAATTAAAATGGCACCTGTGGATTTTCCTGACTACCGAATCATACATAGTCTTTCCAGTCCTCTTAATAATTTTATCCCTTAATGCATTTTCTTTAGTAACACTGAAAGTTATACAATTGTTAATTGGTTTATTTAGTTCTGTGGCCATCTCATCACCATAGGATGCGATCTTTTTAACAGCAGAGGCCTTGTATGTTTTATTAACCCGTCTTTCCCACAGTGCTAACAATACTAAAGTTCACAGTATGCTCAATAAGCACTTTCTGAAAATCAAAGTTTGACAGGTTGTATCTAAATTATAGTTTTTTTCTCATTTCACCTAGAATAAAAACCCGAATAGGACCTTCAAGACTCCTGCCCTCACCCCATCGTTGTCCTCCCTGTATCTTGTCACTCTCCCCTCACTCCCTCTGATGCGGATCTACAGTTGTTGCTGTCCCTGAGGATGCCAGGCAAACCTCTGCCTTCTGTTCCTTCAGTCTGGAATGCTCTGTCTTCTCTAACCCACAAGGATCACTCCTTTGCTTCTTTACAACAGATACTGAAAGGTAGTGGGGCAAGGGGTTGGTCTTGGTGCCTAATCTACAGTTTTAACACTCCTGTCCCACACTACTGAGAATTAACACATGCCCTACCCCGTACTTTATAATTTCTCCTTATCACTGTTCTCTATATGCCATAGAAATCATTTGCTGATCTTGTTTATATTTTGTCTCCCATTTAAAGGTAAGCTCCGCAGGGCTAAGGATTTTGTCTATTTTGTCTACTGCTGTCCTGAATCATGTTTGACACTATAAATGTTTGTTAGATAAATGAACTGGTAACTTAATATATTATTTTGCTTAATATATTACACATTCATGTAGTTAAAAAGACTAAATTTATTGAAGCGTTCATGCAGCCATTTGTTAAATTGTTGTCATTACTGGTAATCCAGACAAGTGTTCCTCACTTAAGGAAGGCTAATGAGAAAAGGTTGATAGTTGGAGAACTTGAATAACGATTGTGAGAGGACTCTAATAAATTGATAGTACTCTCAGCTCCATATATAGGCTTTATAATAGGTTTAGAACTATGTTCCTAGTTCCACAGAATAAGTTTAAGTCTTGTGTGCCCTGTAATAACATGTTAAAACATAAAACCATCCCCCTTTGACAGCCATCTAGAAAGTGACATACTCGTCACAGGAAACATCTGGTTTGTCCTGTCTGCTCTTATTGTAATTACCTTCCTGAATCTCAACATTACAATTAATTGCCTCAGAGTTGAACTATTGGTTAATCAGCCCCGATGAATCAACCCAAGAAGCAGGATTAACTGCGAGACAAGCTTTATATGACCAGTTGGTTACATTTCATGCTCTACTGACCAGAAACCAAAAATCTAACCAAAGATTTCCAAGAATGAGTGTGGAAAAAGAACAAATTTCTGTTCCAAACTCGCTGGGACTTAGGGTGGTTTCCACATTTCCAGAAGAACAGTTAAGTGAACAACAATTCTGAAACCAGTGGGTAATTTTAGAATAACATGGTGAACTAAGGAACTGAGAAAGTAATTTTTATAGGGTTGCCTTCCCTACGGGGTCAAAAATACCTGTTCCAGAAGTGACCCATGAAAACGGAGAGCGGTGGTTTGCTCACATTTGACAGATTCCCTTTATTCCTTTTGGCAACTATGAGAACAGGCTCATCCAGTTTCATCGGAAATGTGGAAATGTTTTGTTTTCCTTTGAAAGTGAAGAAGGCAACATCCTATGGGAGGCCTATAGTCAGTTCTTCAACAGAAAAACCAACAAGTTTAATGCTAAACTGTCTACATTACTCCTTTCCATTGTCTCCAAGGAGTCCTTGCCTTGGCTGATCTCCTTTGGGTAAAGGATGAGGCTAGGAAAGTATGAATAACTATTTGGGGAGTAGGGTGACACATAAAACCATGACACTTATTTGATAACCAACAAGCTGGACTTTCACGTAGCCTGGAAAATCCAGCAAACATAATTTGTAATAAGACTGAAATACATCTTTTCTGTTAACTCTTCAAAATTTTGTTTACAAACCATGCACTATATGTCTGTAACTGTAGTTAAAAATTGAAAAGTGTGGACTTTTTTTCATTTAAATATTAATGAAAGATGCACATCTTTATATCAAATAACTTTGTTATTAATAATCCTGAGACAAATTTTAACCCAGTTTAATGACGTACCATTTAAACAACTGGAATGCTATATCCTAGTTTTAGATCTTGACATAAGAAGCCAGTAAACACATCACAGGTGTGACAGCTTTAACCAAACACAGCTTTAGCCAAACATCATTTTCCTAGGAAGGCAGGCACTGTGTACAGTTCACCAGCTTCTACAGTTTCCAAAGGTTTAATTAGCTAATGCTGCATTGGGTGGAAAAATCTTGGAAACTACTTTATTGGGACCACAGACACAGTCCAGTGGATGCAACACTTAGCTTGGAATTCGAAAGTAACAGCAAGCAATTGGAAAGCAGAAATGACTCTTGATTTCCCTGGCTGATTCACCTAAGGAAGTGCAAGGAAAGACATACCTTCTCAGCCTCACCAAGTCACTTCCCCCAGGACACCCTAAACGCATTATGGTTGTTCTTATTCATCACCTTTGGGTTTTTTTTCCTCCTATTTTTGAGATGTCAATGGAGGAGCCCGGCTGCTGTGCCCACGATCTGGTTTTGGTTTCTGTCCTCACCAGCTGTGGGACAGGCCAGCCTGCCGAGTGTGCGGTGCCCTCCGCCACCGTAGTCCGCCGGGGCTCGCGGGGACGCGCCGGCTCCGGCCAGCTCCGGGCGGCAGCCCCACGTCCCCGCGCCGAGCGCCCGAGCGGGTGGGAACGCGCTGCAGCCGCGCCCGCCGCCTCCCCGACTCACCAGCCTGCGAAGTTTCCGCGCGGGGAGGGCTGGTGTCGGGTTTCAGGACCTCTCCTGCCCTTCCCGGTCCCGCAAACGGGGCTGCAGCAGCCGCGACCACCGCGATCTGCTTCACCAGGTGACCGTCATGGGCACGGCTCCTTCTCTGGCTCCAACCTGTGGCTCCGATGGGTGCAGCGCAGCCCGGGCTGCGGGAGGGAGGCTGGGCCGGCGGCAGCGCCACCCCCGGAGCCCGCCGAGGCGCCTCGGATCGGGAAGGTTTGTGTGAGAAGAAGGCGTGTCTGCGAGTCCAAACGCGGATGTGCAGGCTCACCTCGGGCCGGTCTCCCAGTGACTCAACGGCTGCAGGGAGAAGGGCGCCTGGCTCCTGCTTAAACCCTCCTCGTCCCGGGGCTGCCAGCCCCAGCGGCGAGCTCGTTTTTATGCATTAGTTTTCCTGTGCTTTCTCTGACCTCTCACTTGAGGAACCCAGGGCGCTGCTTCCCTGGTCCTGGTTCTCTGCTGCATGGAGCGGAGATGTCTGTGTAACTACAGAGCAATCGGAAATAAAAGGGAGGTTGGGGAGAAATCGCATTTTAAATTAAAATATTTTCAAGTGAAAATATTGGTCAGTATGCACCGTCCTAGTCCCAGGATCAACACCAGTTCAGAGCTCAATAAATGACTCTTTAATGAATACACAGGCTGTCGCTGAGCAAGTGTTTATTAAGTACCTACTTTGTGACTGACCATATAAGATTCAAGCATAGAGCAGAGACCCTGGCCGGCCTTTGGGGGATGGCATTTTAGCCCTACTCTGACACCTCTAATTTACAGAGTCATGGCAAAGGTGAGCACATAGGGTTGTATTTACCATTACAATTTATTTATATGCTGGTGAAGAAAATTAAACAAACAAAAAACTCATTTGCATTCATGTTAGTAAACAATGAGAGGATCGCTTAAATTTTAATTGCTAAGTTCAGATCTGACCAGATACTTTGGAGATGTGGGTGTGGGAAGCACTGCTGTTACCTGAGGAGGATCTCCTCAAGAATTTCTCCAAACAGAGAAAACAGACAAAAAACCAAAACCTGGAATAAACAATAACCAAGGGGTAGAGAAGAAATGTTAGAGAAAATGTGTATTCTCATGGAAGTCCATCTATTCTATCCTCAGTCTTCTTACCTTGAAAATGGGGATGATAGTAACTCTGTAGGGATGCTGATGGGGTAACTGAGTTCATGTCAGTAAAAGGCCTACAACACTGTTGGCACAGTAAGTTTCATAGATGCACTAGCTCCATGTGCAATTTTAATAGCACTTAATTTACTCCCTTCTCCCAAGGTTGGTCCAATTTAACAAAGTTGTTTTAGAAGGAAGTGTACGAAGTTGGGTTAATTGGATTTGTGATAAATCTGCTTTTCATCCATCAACCCTACCTGTGGGTATAACAAGTATGTGTCCGTGAGCCCAGAGATAAAAGAAGAAACACGCAACCTTGATTCTATTCCTCTGTGAACTCACCGATTTAAGATGATTATCCTACAGATGATAGTTCACATGCTTTATCAAGGTAACCTGTTCACTGCTTTCGTCTGTCCAGACAGCAATGGCTTCTGACGTGTGTGTGCCACAGCGTTGTCAAAGCCCCCCAGTTCTTCTCATTTGGCCTTCACAGCATAGCTTTGAAATGGCCAAGCTCTCTGCTGCATTTACTGTCCTCATTTTAAGAATGAGGAAATTGAGGTTGAGAAAGTTCTAACAATTTGCCCAGAATCAAGAGGCCCAGTAAAGGTAGAACTCAGGTCTGTTGGTTCTGAATGCAGAGTTTCTGGTGGTCTCTGTATTCTGCTGCCTGCCCAATATTTCTGGAAAAATGTCCTGCCATGAGCAAAGCTGGCATGCACATTTATCACCTCCTCTTGTTGTCATCCTTGCCCAGATAAGTGCCTGTAAAGCCAAAGCTCCCAGGGGCGGCTCTGCTGGACTGCTTGCCACATAGAGTCCTGTCCTTCTGGTTCTGAGGCTCAGAGCCACTGCACTCACAAGGTGACACTGATGGAGAGTGGTGATGCATGCCTGTCCCTGAGAGAAATGTTGCGTTGCCATCTCAGTAACACCACTTTGACTGCAGGCAGTGCAGAACAAAGACCCTGGAAATCCAGGGAGAACAGGTGACAACATCGTGTGTCATGAAGATAATAATAAAGTTTTCTTGCATATGAAATTTGTTACACAAAATAAATATATGTAATTTCTCCCTCAATGAAAACAGCTCCAAGGTAAACAGATTCTTAAATATACTTGAAAGATTTCTAGTCAAATGTGGCAAATTGATCCCATGTGTTTTATTTCTCTTTCCTTAAATTCTGAACACAAGAATAAATGAATTTTTTGCAAATGTCCTTAAACTGTAAAGAAAAACAATAGGGAGAAGAGCTATCAATGGATAAAATATACTTTAATGCATATTTTTATTTTAGGAAGAATAAAAACAATAAAAGCGATATAAAATTTCAAAACAAGATGATTTTTGAAGAATTTAAATCAGTTGGAGGTTCTGTGCTTGATTTGGAAGAGCAGAGTTTGCACACAACTCATCTTCGGGAGGAGTTGAAGACAAGAAGTGGGCTGATTCTCCCTATAAAACTCAAGAGTAGAAGGCCTAAGAGGCAGAAGTACCAGCCTGGCAGGAGCAGGGAGTGGTCTGGTGGCTGGGTACACTAAACATCTATATATAGAATGCTGGCACCCAAAGTGCCTTCCCCGCTGCCATGCAAAATCAACTAGAGTTTCTTCACTTGCTCAATCTTGTCACTGAAAGAAAATAAACTGGAGTATTTTGTGTCTAAATAACGTGAGCCTTGTTACTAGTACTGCACAGAGAGAAAGTAAATAAAAAGAAATTATGAATGGGAGCAAAAAACTCTCAAAATTGAAAACATTTAAACTTGTTAAATTTTGGTAGTTTAGAACTAATTTCAAATTATCGTCAGGAAAATAGAAGAAAAACCTATGTAAAAATTTGGAGAAAAAATTTTCTGATTCCCTGCAATCCCAGAAATTTAGAGAAACAAAAAAAAATTCTATGCAAAAAGAGATGAAAAAAAGTGAAGAAACAAAATAATGCTTTCAGATTGCAGAAGTGGAGATCACAAACTTTGGAATCAAAGTTTGACCAAAAATTCAGCAAAATAAACTTTAAATTAATTAAACAGACATTATTCTGAGATAATAGGAATCCAGGAATAAAAATAAGAACTTTAAATATCTTACTATCTCCTAAAAACATAAAGCAAATTACATTTTAAAAGAACAAAAAATGAAATTATCTCAAACTTAGAAGTGTATCCCAGATGAAGTGTCAGCCAAGTAAAGCTATTTTCCTAAGTGTAAAGATTCAAAAATTTTTTGCTTTCTTTCTACCTTTTCGATACAGGTTCTCTGTAAATTGCCAAGAGAGAGAGGGAGAGAGAGAGAGAGAGAGAGAGAGAGAGAGAGAGAGAGAGAGAGAAGGAGGGAGGGAGGGAGAGAGGGAGGGAGGGGAGGGGAGGACAAGGAAGGGAGGGGAGGGGAGGGGAAGGGAGGGAGGGGAGGGGAGGGGAGGAGAGCAGGAGACTCAACAGGGTTTAAGTTCTGTTTTTCTTGAGAACCCCACAAGATTTTATTTTGTGAGTTCCATGCTGGGATGGGGTAGGTATGCCACAAAATTCTAGCCAATAGAATGTGGACAAATTCCAGGCCAATTCCAGGCCAAGCCCTTAAGGTGTCTCCTGAAGTCCTCTAAGCTCTCACTGTTTCCTTGTTAGTGTCCAGATGCTAAGAGGCAGGGAAGAGCTTGTGGAAGAAATGAAAGCCACTCAGTGAAAGCAATGCGTGGTCTGGAATGTATCTGTGGAAATCCCAGCCCAGACACTACCAGCAGAACTGGGAGGAGCGCAAGAAATAAACTTGTGTAAAACCATAACAATTAGATTATGGATCGTGACAATTTAAAGATAATTTTCAGGCAATTTTGATTAAATTACTGTTAGTACAAAGTGTGTTAAATAAATTTTAATAAATGAAAGATGTTGCGAACTCCAGGAAAACCAAAGTCATGAGGGAAAACAAATACGTAACACAATATCCCTTCATTCACATGTGGATATGATCAGTACAAAAAGATTCACAAAATAATTAACTCTACATTGTAATAAGACTATGGAATTTGGGAGAAAAAAAGTGTGTACATAAAATCCTCAACTATGATAATATAAAGATAGTAAATAATGTGTAAAATTGCTAAATTAAAAAATAGCAGGATCAGCAAATAATTTAGACATATGTAAGAATAATAAGAAACCTCTAAATGTTCATCTGTAGGAAATCAGACCAGAGCTTAAAAGAAAGTCTGTGCTTACACTATAAGAAATTTAATAGTTTTATTTCATTTTAAATTATGAAATGTATTACCTTAATAAAAATAATAATCTTAAAGTAGCCTTAAAATATAGATAGGGAAACAAGAGATATCTGTCCAACAGAGAAAAACGTTGTACTTTAATATTAAAATATATGCATATATTAACACAATAACATAAACAATGAAGTTAGTTTTGAGTGGTAAGCCCAACAATTTAGTCATTCAACAAACATTTATTTAGCAACTTGTGCCTGGTACGCTGTTAAGCATGGAAGAGCCAATGGAGAACACAAAGGAAAAATAAAGGTACCCTAACAGAAAATGAGCTTTAACAACCAATATACTTTTGAATTCTTTTTTGTCCATGGTGGCATGAGCCACTGACTTTACTTTTTTTTTTTTTTGCTATGATACTGCCTTCAATTCTTCCAAACATACTTAAAAATGCTCCAAATGGTCCTCACTGAAAGCAGAGGTCTCCCAGCTGACCCACCTCCCAAGACTGCAAGGAAGGCTGGCTTTGCCAAGCTAGCAGGCTGGGCGGGCCTCCACCTCCTGCTGCCTGCAAGCCGGCCAGCCAGCCATGTGGAGGTTGTCTAATCGCATGTAAAAATCAACCCCTCCCCAGTTCGAGAAAACCTCAGCATGACTAACAAGTCAGAAGACAGGACTCTCCGTCATGCTTGTTCTGCAACTTTCAAGGATACAACTTCAAGAACAATGCACATGTAAGAGACTCCTTATTAACAAACTGCTTTATTATCCAAAGCACAGAAAGACCTAGTTATGTTTTTAAACTGAACATATTTTCACAGTTAGACCTACATCATCTGTTCATCCATGAGCCTGTAACCTTCCTCCTTCTAAACTCATTTCTCTCACTTTCTTAGAATATGAA